TTTTTTGAGTTGGAGTCTCACTCTATCACCCAGACTGGAGTGCAGTGACCGCTCCCGGCCACCGCAGCCTCGACCTGCTGGGCGCCGGCGATTCTTCCGCCTCAGCCTTCCAAGTAGCTGGAACTACAGGCGCGCGCTAACACACCCAGCTAATTTTTGATTTTATTGTAGAGATGAGGTCTCACCAAGTTGCCCAGGCGGGTCTCGAACCCTTGGGCTCAGGCAATCCACTCACCTCAGCCTCCCAAAGTGCTGGGATTACAGGCTGAGCCACTGAGCCCGGCTACATGGTATAATTTTATAATGTCAGTACCATCTACATTAATATCCTTTTTCTTCCTGATTTATTTCTTAAATCTTTTGTATTAATCACTGATATTGCATCAGTCAGCTATTGCAACAATAAATATCTATGTCCAGGTGCTTACAACAGCAAAAATTTTTATTTCTTGCTCTGGGTCTTTCAGTTTGCCAAGCTTTGGCTGATCTCAGTGAAACTTGCCTAGACTCAGGTACAGTCAGCTGGAGTCCAGACTTCCAGAGATTTCGTGTCTGCTCCATATCATTTACCAGGGACATATTCCTCCCATGATTGGGAAAGAAGCACAAAGACCATGTCAAACCTATAAACACATTTAAAGTTGCTGTTCCCTCCTTATCTGTTCATGGTCACTTGGCCAATCCAAATAGCAAAGGGCTGGAGTGTTTACTCCACAAACTCTAGTGGGAAACTCTGAAAAGTACTATGGTAAAGGGCATGGATACCTAATTCTATAACAAAGAGAAAGTAAAAAGCCATAAACAATCCAAACTACCATAGTCTTATTTGTTACATTTATGTTTTTTGCAAAGAACTAGTTTTTAAAAAAACTTTATTAGTGCTATAGTTATTTTTTATTCTAGTTCTTTAACTTAGCTATTTAATTTTTATTTATTTCTTAATTATGCCTATCCTTAAGTGTGTATTAATTTATCTGTCACATAGAGTCCCCAGTCCTTGGAGGATTATTTTTGAGGCTTGTTGCTTCTATCAACTCTCACTCTGCTTATTTCCTTCTGTGTTTGGTGGTTGTTACAGTTGAGCTCAAATTCGCCTGCTCTCCATCTGAGAAAATACTGAGGTGCCTAGGTTACAGGTGAGGTTTTCCATTGCGTTTATGTTTCCACAGCACTAGGTTTTGACCTACTGAAACACCTAAAACACGATTTTTCATCTTGGCATAAATAGAAAAAATTAATAATAATCTTAAGAAGAAGAATAGCATAAGTTCAAATCCCAGATCTATGAGAGGAAAGATCTATGGGAATACATCCCCAAGGGGAAATTTTTATTCCACATCAGAATCAGGGCTTTCTCCATATTCCTTTGTTCACAGGTGTATTTTCCAGCTGCCAACACTCTCCCCATCAGACCACGCTTCCTCTAAGTCTGTAGCATGCTTAGGGTCCTGGTTTTATGTAAATCTCTCTATTTCAAATTCTCACCTTTCTGAGAGGTCTGCCTATGTGCCGTATTAATGGAACGTCCTTTGTCCTCTAAGCCCATGGACCCTTCAAAGTTGTATCAATGGCATCAGGAAACACAGCCCAGGATCTTCTTTACAATGGGGGCCCCTCTTGGTGGCTGGTGGGCTCCCTGTAATGGGAATCAGGAGAGCTGTGGAACAGGGCATGATGGCATAAGTACACAGGGCCGATGACCCTTGAGAAGCCAAATGCCAGTCATAAGACTGAGTCAATGGGAAGTGATTAGTCCACACTCCACCAGGGGAAAAGCAAACCTCTCGAGTTGTTTGGTGAGATAAAATATTTCAAAGAGTGAGTGTGAGTTTGGGGGAAGACAGGCATCAAAGGTCACATCGGGAAACTTGGGCCATTTGATCAGGTTCTGATGATAAGAACTGGAAACCTGGGTCTGGAAGAGCTACAGACTGTCAAGATCCCTGCCTCTCTCCTCACTCCCTCACAAGAATCCTCTTGTGTTCCCAGCCCGGGGCTGCACCCTGGGGACGAGGAGGTGAATTGAGTATAATTCCTGCCCTAGAAAAGTAAAATCACTGGCAAAGTGGGGCCAGATGCTCCAGCCAGAGAGAAGTCAAGAGGGCGGCTGTGAGGACACAATGCTGGTGGAGTCATTTGTTCCATAAATCTCCATTGAACATCAACTCTGTGTCCAGGCACGCTCCTAGGTGGGATACAACAGCTGGGGAACAACTCCTAACCTCATGAGGTTCTTGTTCTCAAGGGATGGGGCGGTCCATCAATATGCAACTAAATACACAAAGCAATGCCCCACAGAGATAAATAATGGGTAGAACATTAGAACAAAGAATTCTAACTTAGTGACAGAGTGCTACTTATGATTACATGATTAGGAAAGTACTTTTTCCAGAGGGTAATATTTAAGTTGAAATCTGAATGACAACAAATATGCAAAGATAGAAAGAGATGTCTGGGCAGGGAGCAGTTGGTATATTTAATTATACATGAATACTCCTTCCCCCTGCTCGTAGCCCTGTGACATGCTCAAAAAAAAAAAAACATTTAATAAGGGTTCTAAATGAGGAAAGAGGAATGAGGTGACATCACTTTGTAGGTCTTTAATCTCTCCACCCCAGCTCTGCAATACATGAAACACAAATAGAGCTAGTCAGAATAACAAATACAAGGGTGTGTGCTTGTGCTTATGCTTGTGTGTGTGTGTGTGTGTGTGTGTGTGTGTGTGTGTGTGTGTGTGTGTGTGTGTGTGTGTCTGCGCATACGCACATATGCGTTTGTCTGGTAGAATGTCTATGCACGTTTCCTCTGGAAATGAATATCTGGAAAAAACGATCCTGAGAACCTGGGATTCTAGAGGCTCAGAGTTGCCGAGCTGTAGAGATAGATGACTGGGAGAAGGAGGAGTTTAGGACACTAAAGCAGAGAGCTGCCCAGTGCTGTACTGGAGAACCCACCAGCAGCCCTGGAGAGCTGCCCAGGATATAGCAGTTCTAGGGAGAGTTGTTTATTCATCTGGAGTTGAAGTCCAGTCCAGCACTGTCCCTGGTCACCAGGCGATTGGGCCTGATGGCGCTGAGGCATCTGCCAAAGGTCTGGGCTGGAGAGCCATCTTCCCTGTCATTGCCTCCGTGCTCTGCAGAAGCCCTAGTAAATCATTTGTGGAGGAAAGAGGCAGGGTCCCGGGCCAAGAGTTCAGCCTCTTGATCTTGGTGAGGTCCAGGGAAGGGCTTTAGTGGGTTGCAGGCCCACTGGGGGCCTCTCTTTCTCTCTGACCTGGGGCACCTATGTCCTTCCTGGATCCACTTGACCATCAGGAAACTAAAGGGCAGTCTTTTTCAAAGAGAAGAATAGAAACGGGGTGCATGTGCACCAGCAACAGGTACAAACCCTAACCGGGGCTTCCAGCACCATCAGGGGAGGTTTTAAAAAAAAGACAGAAAGAAGAAATGTGGAAAAGGGTATGATCACAAGAGTTTCCCTCCAACTGGGCACCTCTCACTAAGTCCTGGAGGAAGGGAGCGGTTGAGGGTGCAGATAGGCTGGGAGTAGCGAGGGCAGATGCTATAGGTATGCAGCAAGGGCCAGGGACGTTGGGATCAGAGACTGCAGCAGAGCAAAGGGAGAATCCCATGGGGAGCTGGGCTGCCAAGGCGTCAGGAGGAGGGTCTCGCTTGGGCAAAAGTTGGATGGGAATCTGACAGCTGGGTGGGGACCTAGAGCTGGTAGGCATCTGGGCAGCACACCAAGGCTCCTGCCAGGAGAAGAAGCATGAGATGGCTCCCTGTCAGGCCCCGGGTGAGCAGAAATTTCAAGATTCTGGGTCTGCCTGGCAGAAATGGCCTCTGTAGAAAACCTCAAATCAAAGGACGTCTCATCTGGGCAGGATAGATGATCAAAGAAGGTTCTCACGTGGTGGGAGGATTGCTTGAGCCCAGGAGTTTGAGACCAGCCTGGGAAACACAGTGAGACCTCATTTCTTTCTTTCTTTCTTTCTTTTTTGAGTAAGAGTCTCACTCTGTCACCCAGGCTGAAGTGCAGTGGCATGCAAACAGCCACTGCAGCTTTGATTTGCTGCGCTCAGGCAACACTTCCACCTCAGTCTAGTTGAAACCACAGGCATGTGCCACCATGTCCAGCTAATTTTTTGATTTATTGTGGAGACGAGGTCTCACCATGCTGCCCAGGCTGGTCTTGACCCTGTGGGCTGGACTCAGGCAATCCTCTCTCCTCAGCCTCCCAAAGTGCTGGGATTAGAGACCTCGTTTCTAATAATAATAATATTAATAATGATAATAAAGAAGTTTCCATTTTAAGGATCAGAATCCGGTCTTGGGGAACTATGGGTCCTGAGCCTTCAGTGAGTGCCTGTCACAAATCGAGACTTTATATAAGGCACCCAACAGGTTGCTGGGGAAACAACTGTGGTTCTGAGGATGGTTAGGACCTCAGCATGTAAAACAGGGACTTCTGTATGAAATCAGAGAATGGAGATCATAAACCAGGTCCAGCCAAGAAGTGGATTTTGTGGGACCTCAGGTTGCCTGCAGCAGTCTAAGTCTAGCTCCAGGGCCCATAGGAAAAGGAAGAAGAAGGAAACCGAGAATCCTTTGGTGATCAAGAAAGGAAGACAATGGGCTCTCTGTGCCTTTGTGCCAGGCCACCGGAAACCGGGCTAATATGTAGTTTTCAGACCCTGTGGGCTCTCAGGGTAGGTGGAGTCAACTGCTAAGCCTGGTGCTAATGGGGGTACTGGGACCTTGGGGAGAACGGGTCCCTGTACTCACGTAGCTACCTTTGTTTCAGCACCAATCTACTTCTCACGTGTTTTGCCAGTCTCTCTAGTAACCCGAGAGTCACTCAGAGCCAAAGGTTGTGATATTCCCTCTGTGTCCACTGCCCGGGCACAGGGTCCCGTGCACCACAGCAAGGGAGGAAATGTTACCTAAACAAGATGACACTGAGTTATTTTCCTTGACTTTTCCCACCCCAAGGGAAGGACCATGTTCCTGTGTCTATCACTCCCTGTCCTTTTCCTGTGTGTGGTGACAGTGTCTTGCTCAGAAACAAAAACCTGTGATGATGCCCAAAAGACTTGCTCCGTGATTGCCTGTGGTATCCCCGTCACCAACGGCACCCCAGGCAGAGATGGGCGAGATGGACCCAAAGGAGAAAAGGGAGAGCCAGGTACAAGACAGGCTGCTCTGTCTTCCTAAATCTTTGCTTCCAGCGGGAGACTACTCGATATGAAGGATTAAGCACAGAGACTTGGGGAGACTCGCCTTTTATTATGACAGATGTTGATCCACAAAAAATAATCCCTATAAAATGTCATTACCTCCAAAGCAAAGGGGCTCGCTGACTCTCCAGGAACACACATTTCCACACAGGGATTGGTGATGTGTGATTATCTGTGGCTGTCTTGCCTACTTAGGGAGCTGGCCGTCAGGACAGTCTTTTCCCTGTAATGCTAGAGGACCTTTCCCCTTTTGGGTCACCCTAGCTCACCGGTTATTTCTTGGGTGAATTGAGTATTGAGCTTTTGGACGAAGAGAATGAGCAGCAGCCACTGGGTCATGTTCCCTTTATCTTCCAACAGGCCAAGGGCTCAGAGGTTTGCAGGGCCCTCCTGGGAAGTCAGGGCCTCCAGGAAAGACAGGAGATCCTGGGTTTCCAGGAGCAAGGGGCCAAAAAGGAGATCGTGGAGACAATTCGGGTAAGGAACACTACAGAATGGTATTGCCTGAGGGGACCCAGGGCCCTGGGAACTGAAGGGCCAGACAGGAAGTGCCCTTTCTTCTGCTGCCTCACTGGAAGATGCTCAACTCTGCTTCCTGTCCCAGCACCCTCAGTCCTCACACGTTACTAGGGTCTGAGGGGATTCCCATGGGTGCCTGAGTACAGATTTCCAAACACTACAGGGCCACTCCCATGCTAGGCCTCTGAAGGAGATAAGCTGTGGCTTTCCTTCAGCTGAGACAGTTCAGTGTGTGGCTCAGTCCAGTGTGCGAGGGAGGAAATGGGCCCTTTGGGGGCTTGGGTTTATGTTTATTGTCAAAAGAATGGCATAAAAATAGTCTACCTCGTAGGACCTCTGGATAATGAGGAATATCATAGCAATGCAGTTCAGAGTGAAATAGAGGAAATTCGGTAAGAACAAAAGAAAGATGACAATCCCCTCAGTAACATGTGTCTGCCAGTCAGCCAAAATAACAAAAGAATTAAAAAGTGTTAATACTTATCTGGAATGAGAAATGAAAAGGAATTACAAAGAAAAATTTTCTTTATTTTAATTTTTAATTTTAAAACTGTGGGGTATAATTCAGGGTTAGGTATACAAATATTCATTGTGCAAGCACCCTTGTTGATGACATGTGCCCTCCCCTCCCCTGGCAGTTTCCCACTACTGTTAATTCCTTTCTTATAGTATTATGATAATTGTTCATTATGAGTTCTTATGAGTGAGGGCATATGGTACTCTGTTCTTTGTTTCTGTGACAGATCACTCAATATTATAGGCTCTAAATCCAACCAAGTTGCTGTGAAGTTCATAATTTTGTCCTTCTTTATGGCTGCATAATATTCCATTGTGTATATGTATCACATTTTTAAAATCCAGTGCAGTTTTGAGGGGCAGCATGGTTCGTTCCATGTTTTTACTATTGTGAATAGTGCTGCAGTAAACATGTCTGTGCAGGTATCTTTTTTGCAGAATGATTTGAGTTCCTCTGGGTATACTCCCAGTAGGGGGATTGCTAGGTCATATGGAAGGTCAATATCTAGTTCTTTCAAAAATTACCACACTGTTTTCTAAAGAGGATTTTTTGAAAATTTTTTCAAAAAAGAAAATAATGAGTTGAGCGTGTTTTTCATGAATTATTATAATATTACAATATTTAAGCACTATGTGAGGACAAGGCTCCAGAACTGTAGCTCAAGTTATTAAGAGTTACTAAGATATATCTAGAAAGGCAAAAATACTGGTGTTTTCCCTTTTACTTCTTTTTTCTTTCTTATTTTTCTGGAATAAATATATTTATTTATACGCCTTCTGTCCCCCCACCCCCAAATGCCCTGCTCTCCAATGTAACTTCTTCTCAATAAACCCCCTTCTTTCTCTTGCTTCATAGTTGCGGAGAGTAAGCTGGCTAGCTTAGAGAGAGAGATAAGGAGCCTGAGAACAGAACTGAACCACATCAAAAAGTGTACGTTTTTTTCTCTGCCCCCTTGTGCTCTTGGCTCTCAGTCTTTCCTGCAGAATGTTCTAGGCTTGAGGGAGGGTGGAAGAGAGCTAACACTTATGGACACTTATTATAAACCAGAGCCTGTGCTGGGCTGACATTTTCTCATAACACGGTTTCATTCAATCCTCTCACCAACCTTAGGAGTGGTTGTTATACTTGTTTTATTTACAGGTGAGGACAAAGAAGTGCAGGAAGTGTGAGTAATACACTCAACATCACACAGCAAGGAAGTAGCAGAGAAAAGACTGAATGGAGGTCTCCTGTCTCCAAAGTCTTTGCTCCTTCCTCAGCATCCACTATTCTCAGATGGTCGTTCCTACCTCCTTCTTTTTTGAATTTATTTTTCTTTTATTTTATTTGAGTCATGGTCTCACTCTGTCCTGTAGGCTGGAGTACAGTGGCAGGATCATGACTCACTGCAGCCTCAACCTCCTATACTCAGGCAATCCTTCTTCCCCAGTCTTCCAAATAGCTGGAACTACAGGCACATACCACTGTGCCTGGCTAATTTTTTGATTTTTTTTTTTTCTTTTTTAGAGATGAGATCTCTCTAGGCTGCCTAGGCTGATCTCAAATGCCTAGGTTCAAGCAATCCTCTCACCTCAGTCTCCCAAAGTGTTAGGATTATAGGTATGAACCCAATCCCTACCTCCTTCTTATCCTGGTGCCCAAGCCTAGCAGGGAGGCCCAAGCATGTCTCCTGTTATCCACCTGTGCTGGGGCAGTTTTTTGGGGTTTTTTAAAGCAGGATTTATTGAGAGGACAGAAAAGCTCCCACAGTAGGAGGGGACCTGAGGAGGTTACCCTGGGGCAGTTTTTAGCATGTTTTCTCAAGAGTGAGATATCCCAGGAGAGTCCAGGCTGTCTGCCAGGGTTTGTATTTCTTTCCTCTCCCTGGCGCTGCACCTGAGGCATACCTCCTTACTAGGCTCTGTCCCGAGGTGCTTGGGCATGGGGCTATTTTTCAGAGTCCTGAGTTCCCAGAGAAGGGCTTTTCCAACTACTTTTTTGGACTGGTTCCAACCCCAGTCAGTCTTACACACCCTCTGTGATTTCAGTGCAAACCTTCTCCCTGGGCAAAAAGTCTGGAAAGAAGCTCTACATAACCAATGGTGAAAAGATGCCTTTTTCCCAAGCGAAGGCTCTGTGTGCTGGCCTCCAGGCCACTGTGGCTGCCCCCAAGAATGCTGAGGAGAATGAGGCCATCCGGGCTGTGGCCAAAGACACCGCCTTCCTGGGCATCACGGATGAGGCGACTGAAGGCCAGTTCATGTACGTGACAGGCGGGAGGCTGACCTACAGCAACTGGAAGAAGGATGAGCCCAATGACTTCGGCTCAGGGGAGGACTGTGTGATTATCTTGAAGGACGGGATCTGGAATGACATCTCCTGTGCAGCCTCCTTCCTGGTCGTCTGCGAGTTCCCAGACTGAAGGACTGTGTTCCTCAGCCCCTTCAGTGGCTCCTTGCTGAACTCTGTTTTGAAAGAGGATTCAATGCCAACTTCCTCTACCCAGTGTTGAGTCCTTCCTTTTTTGGGATGGGAGGAAAATGAGAGGATATATTTGATCATGGGGTGAGGAAGTGAGAAGAGGCTGGCCGTGGGACACCAGGGTTCTGGTCCAGGTCATGGCAAAGGACTCCTCTGACCTGGTGGGAGCACAGTGCTGGGTCAGAGTCCACCGTGGAGTGGGCCACATCAAACCCTCTCGTTTTTCAGTGAGGACACTGTAGCCCACCAGATGAATCCATGAAGATTCACAACTGGGTCAGAGTAGGCAGCAGATCTTAGCCATTGAAAGATCCAGTTTTGCCAGGTGTGGTGGTTCATGGCTATAATCCCAGCACTTTGGGAGACTGAGGCAAGAGGGTTGCCCAAGTCCAGGGGTTCGAGACCAGCCTGGGCAACTTGGCAAGACCTTGTCTCTACAATAAATCAAAAAAAAATAGCTGGGGGTGCTGGCGTGCACTTGTAGATCCAGTTACTTGGAAGGCTAAAGCAGAAGGATTGCCTGAGCCCAGTGGGCTGAGGCTGCGGCAGCTGTGAGCATGCCACTGCGCTCCAACCTGGGCAACCAAGTGAGATTCTTACTCAAAAAAGAAAGGAAGGAAGGAAGGTCCAGTTTCTTTTCTCCAAGAGTTGCCACTACCTGTACCCTGAGTGCCTTCTATGGTTTGCCTAGTCCTCTCTACACTATCTGTCACTACCTAACTGTAAAACCTGGCAATATCCTATGCGGGTAAGAATTATCCATCCTAGAAATCCCTTCACCCTGACCTCACTTTAGTCACTAGGGTGACCTTGAGGACAAAGAGCAGCCTTTCCTTCCAGCATAGTTTTAGGAGACTGAGTTGATGTTGTGGTGTGTGTCCACAGCATGTGGGGAGGTGGACGGTCATGCAGGGTGTGCCCTTGTCCACAGGCTTCACGGATCTCAGCCTCCACCCTCTGCCCAGCAGCCCCTCCCTTCACCATAAGATCTCATCCTAGGCCAGCGGGCCCATTCTCAGTACAGACAACAGGAAAAACCCCAAAGATGTGAACTTCACGCCCTGTAGGTCAAATTATGCAGCCCCAGACAGTCGGCAAATGAAATCTCCCTTCTGAGCAGGATTCTGATGTGTCTCGCCCACAATTCTGCTTTCAGCTATCTTGGGGTGAGTAGATCTGAGATTACAGAGTCCACACAGCAAACTAGAGGAGGAAGATGAGTTCCTGTTCCAGCTGTATGCCATTCACAAAATAAGATGGGAAAATATTTCATAGATGGGCCAAGGGCCACTTTGACTTAGTGAGAAACTTTGGATAACCTTAGTTTTCTATTTTATTTTTCTTTGTATCTGAACTACCAGGAAAAGCACCTCATAGTTGACAAGTGCTTGATGAATATCTGTTGAATGAGTATAGTAAAAAATTACCAGTGAACAAATGGGTTGGATCCCAAGAGTGAATGTCAAAAGTAGTGTCTCCCAGCCATGCTTCTTCTCTGAGACGATCCAGGCAGAGCTGGAATTGGAGACAGCAGGTTAAAGGTGGCAGGACCTGTGTCCTTGGCCTAGACAGTCACATCACAGAATGTTCAATCCCACGAGGTTCTTCTTCAGGCACTTGGGGGTCTTGAAAGAGTATTTTTGCGACATAAACCAAAGGAGGCCAGGTGCAGTGACTCATGCCTGTAATCCCAGCCCTTTAGGAGGGCTGAGGCAAGAGGACAACTTGAACACAGGAGTCCGAGGCCAGCCTAGGCAACATAGCGAGAACTCATCTCTACCGAAAATTTTAAAAATTAACTGAGCGTGGCAGTAATGTGCCTGTAGTCTCAGCTACTCGAGATGCTGAGGTGGAAGTATCACCTGAGCCCAGGAGGTCGAGGCTGCAGTGAGCTGTGATAATGCCCCTGCACTCCAGCCTGGGTGACAGAGACTCTAACATACACACACACACACACACACACACACACACACACACACACACACACAGCAAAACAATTCACTTCATCTAACTCAAGTCCATGCTTCTTACCAAAAGCATGGAAAACTGCTTAAAATCTAGAAGCACACATGAAATCATGGTTTATGGCAAACAGTAAAAGAAAATACCAGAAACTTTTTAGAAGGAGGAAGATACACATACACAATGACCCAGAACAAGAGAAAGTTGCACCTGAAATTTCTCATAACCAAGACCAAAATGAGAAAATTGATAGGTAACTATTATAGAATTCTTTCTAGTTTATGGTAAGGAGAGTTGTCATGGGCAGGCTGAGATGGATGCCCCTGTTTTTACACTGTGTGTGAAGGGCAGTGTCTTCCACTGTAAAACTGTAGAAGATACAGTAGTGTACTTCACACGGGTTGATTGCCAGCATGTAATGGTGGCCCCTGAGTTAGAGAAATGCAATAAAAAACTTGCAGGGCAAGCTCCAATTCTTCCATCTCCCTTCTAGGCTGCTTTTATTGGTTCCTTCCTTCCTCCCCTTCCTCCTATACCCTTCAGTCACTAGAGCCTCACACTCCTGCTGCGAGAGGTTTCTATGCCACCCTAGACCCTGTCCTCCGTCTCCCCTGCCCATTCACCTCCTCTTCCACCAGCCCCCACACTTGGAAGATCCTTGCTGGTCCTCTTCTCTCTCAGCCCACCTGGCAGGACATCAAGCCTTCCCCATAGGCTCCTGCATGGGTGTGGCTTGTTCTTTTATTGATTGATTGACTATTTTTTGATTTCACATTTTTTAATTTTAAAGATGTGGGGTACAATTCAGGATTAGGTATACAAGTGATCATTGTACAGGTAAAGTTTGGGCCTCCTGTTGGTCCTCACTTCGCCTGGTTTGGGATCAGGTACCCTTATTGATGCTGTGTCCCTCCCCCCATCTCCCCTTTCTTATAGTATTATGGTAAATTGGTCATCTTTTCTGAGCTCTCATCTCTAAATATTTCCCCTGCCACCACCCTTACTTCAGTCTGGAGTTGAGACAAATTATCTCCCTGTCTTCATTTCCCACTACTTATCAGCAAGTGGTGGGGTTCCTGCATGAATTAGCTTGGGAGAAATTGGAGTTAATCTGAGCACACAGGATTCTCATGAAAGTACAAAGATAGACACTGTATTTCATCCAGGCCTCCCAGAACCAAGAGGCAAACTGTGAACAGGACAACCTTCAAAAATCTCCCTTCCTCTCTCTTCTTCCCTCTTTCTCTCTGTATCTCTCTCTCTCTCTCTCTCTCTCTCTCTCTCTCTCTCTCTGACAGGCTGAGGGCGGGCAGTTTCCTTTAATAAGGGGCACACAATGATTGACATCTCTTTTACAAGAGACTCAATGAGGCCTGGCACTCCAAGGACAGGTCTAAGGGGCCACAGGTAGCACATTCCCTTAGGGACTTTAGGAATGGAGATGACTGTAAGCAACCTCTTGAGCCCTACTGTGTGTTCTCATAAAATAGATGTGTCTGCCTTTCATTTTCCATGCTGGTTTTTGGACCAGGCAAGGAACTGGCAGACAACTCTGAGCTGCAGTCTTCTTTGGCTGCCTCCTGCACAAACAACCTGAAGGTCGTGCCTCAGAGCGCTCCTGGAAAGGAAGCTGGTGTTCAGAACTCTGTGCAGACTTGCCTCTGGCTCTGGGGCCATGCCCAGTGGCAGAGGAGGCCTGGGTCTCTGTGTGCCATGTTAGAATTGAAGGAGAGATGGCCTTGTGGGTGGGAGGGTCAGACTTGGGGAGCAGAAGACTGTGGTTGGAGGTTAGCGCTCTGACTAATATACTCAGTGGCATGCCAGCTTCTTGGGCCTCAGTTTCTCTGTCAGTTGATTTCTAAAGACTTCTCTTCTTAAGCCGAATTAATCCATAGTCACACACAGATCCAGACTTCAAGACCCAATTTGGGAGCAAAGCTGCAGAATCCGAGAGCTATTTTCAGTTTTTGTTTCCTGGAAATTCTGTCTAAACGGATTGTGGGCTAAGTGTTTATCAGCTATTTCCAAATTCTACAGAAAACTAGTCTGGATCAGTTAGAATGGCAAATATACCTTGCCTTTGAGATGGGGACGTTGGAGAGAAAAAAAGAATCACCTCTGTAAGTCAATGGTCTTCAAAGGAAGTATAGACACAGCCAGTGTTATCATAACTTGTTTCCTGTGTTCTGATAAAACCAGTTACCAAGGTTTGCTTCAAGGTCGAGACTCCTGCTTGGGTTCTGGCTCCTGAAATTGCAGGACCTTGTTCCTATAGGACACTTTTTCTGCAGCCCTACAACCCTGCTGCTGTCACATTTAGCCTTGCCCAAGAGAGAAGATGGGGACTTAGGGTACCAGCTGAAAACCTAGCATTCATGTCCTCAAACCTCCCTTCTCTGTGGCTGCCTGAGATGGACCAGTGCCAGAGGTCACAGTCAGGCCCTGGACTCAGCCCCTTGGGACACATGTCACAGCAGAGCCTCTGATCTGGAAGGCTGTTTGCTCGTTATTGTGTAACTGATCTGTGCTTTGGAGCCTGACAGGAATCAAGGGTTTTGCGGGGTTTGGGGTTTTTTTCCCATTAACCAAGAATGTTTTATTGGATATCACCAAGGGTCCTGGGCTGGAGTTGTCGGGAAGTGGATTTTATAAAGCGATGCTGTCCTGGTAACCCTGAGTGGCTGATAGGCTGCTGGGAAGAGGGAGGAGCTCAGCGCAGGGGTCCATCTGGGAAGGGGTGCATCCAACCCTCCTGGCCACCTGTGTGGGGAGGAGACTATCTCCAAATATGGTGTCATACTTCAAACAAGTGGGGTGCAGGCAGCCATGTATTAACCAAACAAATGGCTTGGGCAAGACTATCCATTGCCAACACATGGTCCAGCCTGTCCTGTCCTGACTTATGCTTGTGCCACTCAGGAAGCTCTTCAGAGTAGTAGTGACCAGCAGAATTGGCCAGGACCTTGGCAGTACTCTGGACCCAGTGAATTAAGATCTCAGAAATCTGTCATCTTAGTGAGGTCCCCAGGTGATCTGGAT